TTTGAACTGCTGAAGTTTGCACAACAAATTTCCCGCCTTTAACCCGCGTTATTGTTGAAGCATTTAACCCGGTCCCCATGTTGAGGTGGCGCCTCCATGGCGACGGCGTTGTGCTAAGGAGAGATATACGAGAAAGTCGTTGGACAAATTTGTAAAGACTCCATCCATAAAAATTAGGGACCTTAGTAGCCTTCAAAAATGTACCCACGAGTGCGGCCATTTCAACGATCTACTGATTTGGCCGTCGTCTCTGATCAGGTATGCCCTCATAGGGCACTATTTGAATTCCGTTCAATGATGCTTTCGTCTCTTGCACCTGGAAGTCACGTCGTTCTTAACATAGTTCTTACCCATCCGATAGTGAGCCACAGAAACACTTTCAAAAAGCCCTGGTTCCTTTCTTGAACAACACTTATCACCTCTGATGGATGCATTTGTAAACAGGCTCCGCTGTTTTCTTGAGCATCAGGTTACAGCCGGAAATGCTTCCACACATCAGGCACACCTAAAACGCTTAAAGCTACTGGCTAGTTCAAGCTAACTTGAGGTACATTTTTGGCTTAGTTGTACTGGTTTGGGCGTAATCTGACTCACTTTTACGCCATAAATATTCTCCTCATCTTATCTAACATAATCCCATCCAAACTATTCTGATAGATCAGTGGCCAAGACAGCGAAACTTCATGCGATCTAATTGTCTAGGTTGGTGCTGATAATATTGTTGTAACTAAAGGCTGCGGGGTTAATTACATTTCAATGTCTCGGAAACAAACATCCTTCAGCCCACATCCAAGTTCCATGGTCGTCACAGTGCCACCACTCAAATTTTTGTCCCCCAAGCTGTCGATGAACAGTGAATTCTCATCACCGATTCCCGCGGTGAGTTTGGCCCCCGCATCCAAATTTGTCTCACTTGAGATCCCTCCCTTCAGCTGCATGTCCTCCTGTATAAAGCTCTCTCAAATCCATGCTAAACCCCGCACTCGACAGTCTACCTGGTTCCTGGCACTATTTCGCCCTCATTCGCTACTCTACTTGCGATGGACTACATTGCGATGGACCCCGGAAATATGCCTATTTAACCCTACTTCATGTGTCTTCTCCACTCACAATTCAACAGTCCCAATGGGCCACTCCCTTGTACTCTATGCTTGTGTCACCCACGGGCCCACCATTTATCCACAAGGCACTATCTTGATAGCGTGCCGGTGAAGATAAAACTGAAGATAAAACTGCGAAGATAAACTGTGCCGGTGAAAATAAAACTTGCTATGCAGCCGGTACAGCGTGTGCAAATTATCATAGAAAATTTCCCCATACTTATTGGCTGCGACGAACTCCTTAACTTTCTATGGCGGACGTCTGCCACAATGATATTTAACTTTTCAGCGTAATTTGCGAACATCTGCACCACTTTGGGCTTGTGCGAAAAGTAAATTTCAATTATTGTTTATGTACTCATAATATTTCGAAATCCAATAAAGGCAAAAACCCATGAACAGATCAACTTTCCAGCTAATTATCTCACTATTTTCACGATGACAATGGCAAGCCATGGCAGCAGCTGAAAATGGCTCTTGCGCCTAAAGTACAATTTGAGTCGCTTAATGAAGCTTTAGCAAGACCAGGATTATCTGAAGAGGTTCAGAGTTTTGAATAAACACAGTTAAATTATATGATATTAGAGAAATTTGGTGTGTCTAATGATTGGCTTTGTGGCAAGACGAGATTGCTACAATTCGAATATTAAAAGGAAGAACAAAAGCGGAGGAAGTCAAAGGCGAGGAGCCCTGCCTGGCGCGTGATAGAAAACAATATTTTGTATGAACTAATATACAAGCACGAAGAAGCTGGAGAAGCGCACATATTGCATTGATCGGGCCGATAATTTTGAACCAAAATTGAAAAACATCCTTGAGTCCACGTGGCCTCGGACATATGAGTTAATGGATGAGTTCACGTGAAGCGTAGCCATGAGTATTGAGGTTTAAACATTCTCAGTGGGGATAAGTGGTAGCCTGTATTTCGGAATCATTGAGTGCCATGAAACCAAGGACATACTGGTGTCACCGTTGGAGTGGCAGTGTTAAGAGTAGCGCTAACACACGGGACCGTAAACTACTGATTTGTGTCGGGGACAACCTGAAACTGCACCGAGATGATTAAATCGTAGGAGAAAGTCGAGTGACTTACAATGAACCGATCCAAGGGGTGGTTGAGGCAAGTTGAGTTGTGCGTTTGTATTTGCAGCTAGGGTGTCAAGAGTGAAGGAGATGTCATGCAGAGTATGTGTAGAATAGCTGCACGTATACCATAAGACCGAACATGGTAGTAAATGTACATAGAAGACATTCATCGACTGCTAATCGAGAGGTACGCAAATTTTCCGTTGAAATAGTAAGATATTTTTCCGCTTATGCGCAGGAAATAAATGAAAATAAATTGGTTACCTCTCCTTCGGTAACATAGTCGAAAGCATCCGACCCACGGAAAAAGAGCGACGCAATTACTTGGCACCACGCTCGGTATTATTACTTTTCTTTAATTAAAAAAACCTTTACCAACTGTGATTTCATGGTATTTAATCTTGAGCATTTCTGACTGATGACGCACACGGTTATGCTAATGAAGGACCGTCATTGGCCATAGCATAAAACTGTTTCCGCGAAAACCAAGGTTTATTCGCGGCTTGATTCCTGCTTGGAGAAACCACTCAATATAAGTGCTGTGAGCCCTGCATAGCATCTGAAAGATGCTCCATTGTCCCTCAGTTGTTTCAACATAACCAAATCTGGTATAATTGACAGTAGCATATAGTTGCACAAACGTTGTGTCATACATATAACATGGGCTTTGCAAACGGTAGTATCTTTGGAATGCTTTTCGCTCAAATCATACAGTGTTTTAATTAAGGAGTGGAAAGAGCCTATTCGTGAATCAACCATGGAGCTGGGCAGAACATGCTCGAAAATAAATACACGTCATATCAGGATTTATGGACCCCGTGCAATAGCAACATTCACGAAGTTCGGATTATCATCATTCAGTTCAACGCTATTTATTTACCAAACGATGGTGCTCGGTCAACTTGGAGTTTCGCCCATCCCAAAAATGGCCATCAGAAGGTGCATTGGTATGAACTCAAGTTCCACCGATGTTGTTTTCCGTAGTTTCAGTGAAATACTTTTGATCGGCCACGATAAGCGAACCTACTGCCACCATCCTAAGTTGAGTAGCTCTAGCTTATGTATACTTCATCTCACAAGAAGTCACGGGTGAGAAACTCCATCGCTGCTCTGGACGGTAGCTACTGCCGACTGCTTATAATTGGTTGCGGGATGGCTTTCTTTTCCTAACCGTGAGGTTTTGTTTTTGTGCTTTGGGCCACGCACGAATTGTAATTTGCAGCGCACATCAGGGAATCGGAGACTTACAAAAGACTACAATTACTCCTTCACTCTCAGCGGGAATATGAGCCCACTGCATCACTGGAAACTTTGTACTACGCTCCTGCACTGGCATGATATCTGTATACTATTCCACAGTTTCTAAATTTGCCCAATTTATGGCCAAATGCTCCACTCAATGTTTGCTTTCCCGGACGAATTGCTTAATTTTTGACGTGCTCAAGCTGTTGAACAGATTGGATAAAAGGTTTCCTTGCCAACGAAGGCGAATTCTGGTAGAGATTTTGCTACATAAATGAAGCGAACCTATGTTAAAACGCCGAGAAGCACTGTACAGCTGCTACACCATTACTGAGAATCATAATAGTGCGTATCTAACAAAACGCCAAAGTCTCAACCGATAAATTCTGGCTGGCAGTTCGAACACTCAATCATTCCACCACGCTTGGATTGTTAGCGGTGCAAATAAACCCCATTTGAACAGGATACAGTGCAGCGCACTGATGTTGAATACCATTGGGGGAAAAACAGCTATACAGTAAATCTCTGCTTTTTGTGCGGATTGAATTCACTGGCTGGATGAAATCGCCACCAAACCTTTCGAATATTCTCACAAAATCAACACAAGACGACTTCACCCGTGCGGGGCGGAACGGGAAAATTAACAGTTTTTTGCCCGAGCTTATGTAATCTTAAATGGGACCACTTAGCCCCATGACAACTGGTAGGCCTCAAGGAGCTTTCGCGTAATATTATTGGCTAGTCCAGGATCTAAGCCGCTTTGTATACCCGTTGTCTTGTATCAGGTTGGTCCGTTGTATTCTGTTTCGGAGTCCAGAATTTTACCCATTATTTGCTTTCTGGAATCTGGTGGACCGGGTCAATGTTAGTCCATGAAACGAGCGGCCCTTTTTTTCGAAATACCGCGTTTCAGCAAACTGCCAATTCCGTTTTGCTCTTGTTCTTGTGTGAAAATATATCTGGCCGGTATTACAAGTGGACTAGTATCCTTCGTGATTTGGAACAAATGTCAATCTTACATAGTTTCTACTCGTGTTTGTGTATTCCGGTTGCCAGCTTTCTTTCAGTCTGATGAACATAGAGACTTTCGAAGTCGTTTCTTCACAGTTTGTGGATCACATTAGTACTCTTCACCACACTTATCATTACATTTGATTTAGAAGTAGTTCTTCTCAACGCGTTTGCAAGCTTTAGATAAATCCTGACAGGTGATGTCGTGGATGCTTTGAAGTCATTTCAGCGGGGTTCTGGATAGGTGATGGCGCAGTATTTCCGTGATATAGTTGTTTTGACAAGGTAGCAAAGCGTTTGATTTGTGAACATCTGGGCAAAGATTTCATTGTGTGGCCCGCATTTTGTGGGGTCTGAACAAACCAGTGTTCTTTCCTCGCCTTCTTCTCCTTTGCATTGCAGTGCATTCGGGCCGGCCGGAGTGGAGCGCAAACACATTATTTTTAGCAGTTTGGATGATTGTTAGGTCATCTCTACTGAAGTTGCTCATGTCTTCTTGTGGTGAAAAAATCCAGGAACGCCAATGCGCCACTCACCTCCCTCTCTATTATCAAGGGAATGCTAGGGAATAGGGTCCTCCGCACCCGATGTTTTTGGTGCAGCACATTCTCCTTTATGAAAGAGCATGTCGTTCACAAGTGGCACCCGAAATTTGCTACATATCCGCTTGGTGAACTCCATGTTCTTCTCTTTATTCTCTGTGATGGACTTCGAGGCTGATGATCCCATTGAGTTTAACTGAGTTTTCCACGGTGCTAAACCATAAGGTACGATTTTCATTGCGAATGGAAGACATAATAACAACTTTTTCAAGGTAATTTCTTTGTTTACACTGGTTATTTGAAAGCGAAAGGCTAATGTTTTCTGAGCTTCCTGTTCCGCTCTTTACACGCAGTAATCCTTCTTCCAAATTATGCCACCCATGATCGCCACGATTCATCTCGTCTTGGTTCCAAAAACCATTCACAGACATCCTGCAAGTCAGAAGCATCTAGACCACGCGCTTGTATCCAAGTTTTCGGAGTGAAAACCTGTGTGGCAAATAGATTTGACGATCCCACATATCTAACTAACTAGAAAATTCCCTCGCAACTTTACTGCACGTTGACACATAAATGAACAGCATTATACGGGAAACCTTAACAGACTACCTTCATATCGTCAACAACTGCGCAATTATGTTATTAATCGACGAAGTGAATTATCGATGTCCGCGCACAAAACAACAGCGATTTGAATTTTAGTACCAAGTTACTCTCCAAAGGAGATTTTCTATCCAACTCTGCTCCAACGGTGACATCAGTGGGTCTATATGTTTCCGCTATACACCACCAGTCCGGGATGCAGGCAACCGTTTATCCCCATCGCGAAATTCTCCACTTTATCATCCCCGCTAACGCTTCGCATTTCAAGACGGCACAGTCAAGTAACGGTTTTCAGTTTTACTTCAGATTGACGGTTGGATCAATGAAATGCTACTGTTTCTCCAGAGTTGTTGAGCTGGACCCTTGTATTTTGCTATTCAAATACTTCTGTCCTGTGCAAGGCAGGGGCTCTTGATTTTCTTCCCCTCCGCCGGTAACAGCCTGATCCTGCGTCTATCCGGTATGTTGTACAAGATACGAGAAGGAACCCAACAGCAGTGTTTTATTGCCCCCGATCATGCCATTCTAGACGTAACCCATCGGCGTCGGATAAGATTGTTCTTATTATTAGTATTCATGTGACTACCACCGACATTAGTCGAGTCTGTATTCTTACTGTAAATTTATAATCAGACTTAACTAGATGCCACTCATCAGCTAGGAACGAACAATTATTACGCTTAGATCACGGCAGAGTAGGTCGGGGTACTGTAACACCCTAATGAATACTTCGGAGTCGGACGGGTTCACCTTTGCAGCAAAACAAATGACAGGTGAAAACGAGCGAAACAAGTGAGGATCAAATCTTACGGGCTAAGCGAGAAAATGAACGGGAGATTCAATACAGATCCAACGACCCATTTGTGATCTGTGCATCTCATTCGTCAACTTTTTATTAGTTTGCGCCCCACAAACGCACCGAAACAACGGACAGCTCTGCTATTTAGGCTACTCGCGCAAGTAAAACCTCTCCCTATTTGTTCAGTAGTATTTATTCACTTGCTACATCCCTAAAAATCCCTCTTTTAATCAGACAACTGAACTTGACCCATCCGCCCCCCATGTAATTTCTCCCTCTCGAAGTGCAGAATGTAATCAAAAACGTCTAGCGTTTTGGTATCTGGTGCATCTTTGGACCAACTTGTCCACTAACTCTGTTTTTCTCCGCATTCCACTCGATTCTAAACCGTAGAATCTATTTAGGCGCCAAGACCCCTGGTTGAGGATGACCATTCTCCAAAACCTTGACTAGTGTGTTAATGTAGCTTTATGTCACACCAAATCCATCTGGTAGATGCTATCCATTCGATTTGGTCACTCAGAACAGATGTCTCATCATATAGGTAAGTTTCTTCTCGTATTCACTCCACCCACCCAGGCATGTGTCGGTGACTTATCCTTGTTTCCCTAATGAATAGTGTTGTGCTTCACACTGTTCATCATATTCAGTCACCGCCGTAGCGCCTAGAGCGATTTTCCGCCGATGACTTAAAACGAAGTAAAGCGATCTTCCGCCTTGTCACAGACCAACGTTCATAAAAGACATTAACTGACTACTGCTCGGGGAGAGGCGTTGGTCGTTTCAAAACCCATTGCGGTTCACCTGCGGACGTTATCACAAAGAGGTCAAGCCTCGCTAGTCTGAGAACCACGGTGTTTCTCTGGCTCGTGGTAGAATGTCTGAAAAGAAATTGCCAATAGCAGAAAGCAGATCAACAGCTACATGACCAATAACACACAAAAGTTACGATCTCTGGCGCTTCCAACTCCACCGGATAACCACCCTGAGCGAACCAATTTCTATGAAAATTCAGAGCCTCGTCGCTGGATATTCACGTTATTACGTTCCACATTCGTCAGCGGTCTTCCTTAAACTCTACGTTCTAACAATCGAAGATGTACAGTTTCACCGCAATCCGGGAGATTTTCGGCCCAAATAAACTACAAATTCTAGTTCTTTGTATACCCAGGATATCCTGGTACTCCACATTCACTTAGAGGACAGAACGGAACATATGGCTTTTCTAGACGGCTCACAGGACACTAGCACCGAACACAAATTAGTCCGGAGAATTTGAACTGAGTCACCTGTAGTTGTGTTGTGTTCTAAATTCGAGGTCACCAGGTCAAGAGTACGTTTTCGAATACGTCCGATGGAAGGATCATTCGAACGGAGTTTTCGTGAGAAGTGAGAATACCAAAACTAACCATCCCAAGTGCCGAGTATTTAATTACACGTGCTGTATAAGGTAGCAAAAAAAGTCCTAGATGGCTTAATCTACCGCGTAAGTATATATTCCTTCAAAATGATTTCCGTCTTATGGATCAAGAAATAACCACTGTCCCTCACAATTTGGAGGGAAGTACTACCACCGCCAGTGCTTTCGAACGCTTTTGAAACCGGTGCAAGTGCCTGGGAGAGACATACTCCACAACAGGATGTGGAAAGCCTTGTGGAATGGCCACGAGATCTGTGCAGATCTTGCGAAGTTGCGCAACTTCGAAAGACGCAGACGAATGCATATGTGTGCATGCTGACGGTGTGATAAACCTAAGTAAATTTCAACTTGACGGGCATCGCCCGAGGATATTTCCAACTGAAAGTCGCATTCGGTGCTCGTATCGATATGCAGATTTCAAGTTAATGTGGAAATTTGGCTCAAAGAAATATCTTGTCACCCTCCACCAATTGAATACGGCCGAGAGCGACACAGCTTATATTGAGCCCGAAGTATCCTGGACCATCCAACTTTGTGTATCCAGAATAATCAGCTTGTAGTAGTTAACGGCTCTATGGAGTCTCTAGTGAACAGAGCAAATTACTAATGTAAGCCAGATACAAAGTCACAAGGAGAAAAATCCAAGTAAATCTTGACTCACAGTTCAAAATAGGAGATTCCGTAGTTCCGTATTCCGTTGAACCACCACACCAAGAATAGTTCTATCTTCCTGATATTCCAGATCTCCGGTGATCGAAATATTATTCCACAAGTGTGAATATACTAGTCCAGTGTTTGTAGCTGAAATGTTTGTTCACGTTTAGTGTTAGCAGCAGTCAAATATAGCCAACTGGCGGTCACAACAATAGTCACTCAGCAAAAGTCTCAAAGTCACGTTGGAGTCAACAAGCGGGCGGTAGCGGTATTTCAGTAAAACAAACGTTTGTACAGCGATGTGACTGATAATGATGGGGAAAAAGAAGATGATACTGAGCATGAAAAAGAGCAGTTTACAAATGCCACAGAACTTTTCCTCTAGAGTGTCAAATGGGTGAGCAAGGCGCTCGAAAAGAAAATGCGTCCCGACAGTTAGTCTTTGAAATGAACAGGAAGTTTGCAATGTCGACCAGATCTTGTGAGTGATAGTGTGTGTGTGGTATTGGTGGTGCCACTGGTCGAATGAGGGATCGTGCGATCGTGTGGTTGTACAACGGAGGGGTTCGTAGTATGCTTGTCATCAGAGGTTGATCGTGTGTGAATGTAAGCAACGTTTAGTCGATCGGTGCAAACAGTGTCTTTGCGGCCGTTACTATCAATGACAAATGTTTTGCCTTTCCGAGAAATGACTCTGAAAGGCCCTTCGTATGGCGGTTGTAAGGGATTCCTGACCGCATCACATGTAGCAAGATCGGAATGTACCTGGGTAGGCTTGCAAGTTTGTCGAGTAGGTGAAGGACGGATATCGCGCATGTGTTGGCGAAGCCGGGAAGCGTAGGAATTAGGGTCCGTTTCACCAGTTGTTGCCGAGTCGACTACCATTTCACCTGGAAGGCGTAAGCTAGTGCCGAAGACGAGTTCAGCGGCTGTGCAGCACAAGTCTTCTTTAACAGTATTGCGTACACTGAGAAGAATGAGTGAGAGGCGTTCCGACCAGCGTGTGCTAGAGGAGGCTATCAGCGATGCCTTAAGTTGTCGATGAAAGCGTTCGACCATGCCGTTGGCAGCCGGATGGTATGCAGTTGTTCGGAAGTGATCCGCACCAAGTAGCCGTTTGAGGTCATGAAAAAGTGCTGAAGTGAATTGTGGACCTCGGTCAGTGGTACTGGTAGGAGGTACACCGAAAGTAGCGATCCAACTATCGACAAAGTTTCTAGCAACGTTTTCGGCAGAGGTGTCATTGATCGGAATGGCCATAGGCCAGCGTGTGAAAAGGTCGACACAGGTGAGTATGTGTGTGAAACCTCTGGATGGGGGCAACGGTCCAACCAGGTCAATGTGTACATTTCGAAAGCGTGAGTCGAGAAGCTGAAAAACACCAGTTGGAGAAATGGTGCGTTGGTGGATCTTGCTCTTCTGACAGTCAAGACATTGCTTGGCCCAAGTGCGTATCTCCTTTTGCATATTCGGCGAAACGTATCTTTGGGAAACAAGTTTGGCAGTCGCTCGTATGCTGGGATGAGAAAGTGCGTGGAAGCGGTCGAATATAGAGCGTCTATGTTTTTCAGGAACAAAAGATCTTGGGTGTCCTGTGGATATGTCACAAACAATGAAACTGTCAGAGTTGAGNGTCGGTTAGCGGTGCGAGGATCTCTGAGCAATGTGGGATGAATCTGCCGTAAAAGTTGACCATTCCCAAAAATCGCCGCAGGCTTCGTGTTGACTGAGGTAAGGGGTAGTCCGAAATGGCAGTGGTTTT